TTTTTTCTTTCCTCTTTTATAGTTTCTCAAATTTAGTTTCTTGAAAGATAATAAGTAGTAACAACCTGCTGGTAATGATGAATAAGTTAGGAGAGTCTTCATCCAAAACTTAATTCAAAGTGAAATATTGTTCTCAAGGTTATATTTAGAGACTAAAGTTCTTTTGAGAATTAAAAGCTATTGATGAGTATATTAGTACAAGTCTTTTAGTTTAATTATAATTAATGATAAGTCCTTAAAGTATTTAGCATATAAAATTTCACAGATCACTTATATTTTTTTGGGGGGAACAAAATTCATAACTCTTTACTTTAATAGAAACAAAAGTTAAGAAATACTATAAATCAATAATTTGAATAATAAAAACAATTGTGGATAGTTTTTTTATAGTTATTAATTTAAAACTTTTAATGTTTTCTAGTGAGGAACATTTGACTTTTGTTCTTGTTTCTTCCTTTAGGGACCTATCTTTAGCTATAATACAATTGCCCTATATATATCTTTTTTTTTTTTTTTTTTTTTTTTAAACCGCAATTGGTATTAGATGCGAGCTTTATTAAGAATTAACTAAATCCATAGCGTGACATCAATCATCTCATACAAACTTATATATTTCTATATACATGCAGATTAATGATAACCTATCACGGTTTATTCTAGTTAAACCAGCTACCACTCCTTAAGTGGGCAGATCTAACTAGGGACCGGATAGTTAATACACAGTCATCAATGGCGTGGTTAGGCTAGTTAGAATTGAGCTTGTTAATTTTTGTTATTGTTTCACTAAGCTAGTCCTTTTTTTGTGTATACCCAACGGGATATTTTATACTTTCCAATATTCCCTGATATTATTCACTCAGACCTCGGAAGGGGGCACGGTACCTTCTTTGTCACCACCTGTGGCATCGAATCAGTCCCTGTTTTCTGATTTTCAATTAAGTGGAGCATCAGATTGGGATATCCTGAGCTAGGAGAGCGGGGGTCCTGGAGATTGCCAGGGCAAGGGGTCTTAGAGGCATCAGTGATAGGTTAAACCAGAAGTCTTTCTTCATGCAATCCTTCCGGTAGTACGACTGTAAATCTCAGCCCCTGATCGATGAAAGGCCAGAAGTCCTATCTTCCTGCAACCTAATCGATTAGATCTTGTTCCGGATGATTGGGTACGACTTTCACAGGATAACCGGTAAAACCTGATCAGAAGGTAATTTTTGATTTTTGGCCTTTAAGTGGTATTGAACTACAGATCTTGTGATTGTGACCTGGGAGCACTACCACTGTGCTATTGACCCACAGGTCATTGCCCTATATATCTCTATCAGTTTTTATATTAATTAATAAATATACAATATTGATCTGACTATGGATTATAAAAAAAAAATCAAATTTAGTTTGAAGATTAAAAAGAAAATTAAAAGTTTTATCTTTATATAATTTAATTATTTTTTTTTATATAGTTCTTATATAATATTGAACTTTAAATCTTATAATTGGGACTTAAAAGTACTATTATTGTATTATAGGTCTTTTTTTTTTTTTTTTGACTGGCTCAGCCTTGTTTTATTATTTTTTTCAATTACATTTATACATGTATTATAGATCTATAGATTTAACATTTATATAATTTTATATATAATTTATTTATAATATTTTTATTATACATTTTAATTTTATCAATTTTTAAATTTTTAATTATATAATTTAAAATTGAAAATTATACAATATATATTTTTTAACACTAGTTTTATTTTTATTTTTTTTAATAAAAAGTGTATATGTAATTTTTAAAGTTTTATTTTTGTTAAAAAAATTTTTTTTATTAACTTTTTTATTTTTAAATAATTTCAATTGATTATTTTTATATACAGTATTATATTATAATTGATAAAAAAATAAAAATATTTAGCAATAATAAAACTTTAAAATTTTTTATAAAAATTTTTTAAAAAAAATATAAAAAATAGAACAAAAATTAACATATAATATATATAAATTTGTAATTTTTAATTATATAATTTAAGATTTAAAAATTGCTAAAGTTGACATTTATAATAAAAAATATAATAAGTAAACTCAAACTTTTGAAGGTAACCATATACTTTTTTAGTTTTCTTTTATTTTTTCTAATATAATTTTTTATTTTATTTAGAAATATAAAAAATAATCAATTTTGAAATTTGATTGACAATAAAATAAATACGTAATTAGAAAAAAATTTTTTTTTTTAAATTATTTATAAAATATCATATTTTTTTATAATCAAACTTAGAAACTTCAATTTAAGACAAATTTGTTAATTAAAAATTAATTTAGTTTAAATTTTACATGCTGTATATATAATGCTTATATATTTTATACTAAATAATTAAAATACGATATATAATAAATATATATTTCTTCTGATTTGACTTAATAAGTTAATGAAAAAAAAAAAAATGATAGCTAACTTACTATATATATTAAAAAAATAAAGACCTATTTAGAAATTCTATTATTAGATAGTTTAAGTGAATTCAAAAAATAATAATAGAAAAATAAAATTTGTACAAAAATGTATATACAGTAAAATAAAACAAATTAATTATAAATTGCAAATAGAATATAATAATCTATGTTAAAATAATAAAAACCAATTGAAATATTTTAACGACCACAAAATAATATTAATATAATAGAAATAGTAAAATTTATATACAGTACATATACTGTATATAATTCTTTTTACTCTATATTAATAACTCTTTAATCTTGTTGAAATTATAGAGTTTAATCTCAATGTTATTAAACAACTGAATATTATCTTTATACAGTGTTTGAAATTAAACTGTCTTACAATTGAATTAATAAAAAAAAATCCTGCTGTTAAAACCCCGATTAACCATCAATCATTCGATTGGAAAGAATTAAACATATTACATTAGATCAAGAAATCTAGAAATACGAATGGAAAATTGAAAGATTAACTTAATAACATCAACAATTTTATCTGAAAAACCTATTAACTTATCTGAATATCTCTCCCCCCCGTTTATAAATAGATTATACGAAGAAAATAGTAAATGAAATAAATAGTATAGATTCAAAAAAAATAGCACAATTAGTCTCTTTTTAGTAAAAGCCTAAAGCCGGCCATCTGCAATAAAAATAGAATTAATAGAAATCATACTCATGAAAAATAACCATTATATAGGGATACTATAATGATGAAATGTTATGATTTAGGCAAGCACAAAATGCGGATGTGAAAAAAAACAAAAAAAAAATATTAGAAATACAGTATGAAACCGAGTTCTCCAAAACCAGTGAGTACATCGTTAAAAGAATAAAGGGACGTCCATTAAAAGTTTATTAGTACGTGTTTGTAAGGTTTATCAGTGCACGTGCATTTGTATAATAGGGAAAGTTTATAAGTTCGCGTTTAAAAAAGAATCAGTAAAGAGTAAGGAAATTTTTATTAACGTGTCTTTTAGCCTCTAGTAGTAAACATAAAATCGAATTTTTCGTTAATGCATATACCCATGACGTATGTTCGTATTATTTTATTTAAATCTGAGAGTTTACTACGTATTATTATTTGGCACGAGTAAGTAATACACGTGGGTTAATCGAGTGATCCTTATGTGTTTTTTAATGAAAGATTCCGTTGCCATCTGTAAATTTCCCGGTTTCAAATTAAAAAAAAAAAAAAAAAAAATGGTCCGGTTCACATCTACAATTTACACTTATTGCCCTTCGCATTTTCGTCGAGGGTTTCATTCATCACTTCAATATTATTTGCGTTGGTCGAGTCGGCTCTCTCTTTCATAGTATTGTCAACGCTTTCCTTCATAATTTCGTCGGCTTTCTCGATAATGTTGTCTGCACGCTTCTTTTCAGTGTCATTGTGTTTTTCTTTTTCATCTTTATTGAAAAAATTATAAATTATAATTTTTATTTAACAAAATTGATTTTTTAACGAATAAAAAAAAGAAGATACTGTATAATAATAAACATACTATCTCGAACGGAAGCAGCTTCGCGTTCCGAAGTTCCCGACAACCTATCGGTTCTCCCCTGCTCACGCAAGTTTTTGTTATTTATTGCTTCACCAATTTTTTCTTTAGCCACACCGGTGTAGTATTTTGCATCGCCTTTAATCTTTGAAGCTTTGTTCTCCATTTTTTTTATTTTTTTTATTCACTAGGTGAAAAACGATTTCTACGGATCATACTCTGGTTTCTGCTATGGCTTTTATGTGAATTCGATAAATATGTCACAATTTAGCCGTGTGAGCAAAATTAATCAATCATCAACGTCAAAATGCAATCATAAATACGTCAATGTTATCGATCGTTGTGCTCTTGTCATCACTAACTCGACAGATTAGCTCTTTACATTTACATTTATACAATACGATACTGTAATATCTCCATATTTAACATTTAGATGCTTTTTTTATTCTCGGTTTTCTTGGATTCATCTTCTTCATCGCAACCTTTCGAGAAGTATTCTTCATTGTATTCGTAATCTTTTAATTCTTTTTTAATTCTTACCTAGCTCGTTGTATAGTAACTGAATGCGTTCATGGATCGACCAAGGACATGCGTATTCTTCCAAGATGGCGGTAATAAAATGATTTCTCATTGTATCATCGTGAATTCTTTTGGCGTCGGAATCGCGCTCGAATAGTTCTCGAGTAAAGTATTCTTGAAGTTTTAAATTTTCCATCTTTCTCTCCTCGGAATAAACATCCTCCAAGTCATTCCTGATCCACATCGGATATTTGTAAAGACATTCCAATGGTTTAGAACCTGCACAGTCCCAGGCGAGAAAGCCGGAAATTCTTGTGCCGCCATTGGGATCACGGTTCACCAATATCTTGGATGCGCTCAATTCGGAAGAACATGCCACAAACGTAGAGTCATGATCTTTGTTCTCAAAATAATCAAAGAACAGTTCTGTCAATCGCTCTTGAACCGGACTCCATAATTGTTGATATTCATTGTCTAGACCTTTTATAAACTTGAGTTCATTGTTCAAAGCTGCTTGCAACAAGTCTCGAGTGCTAAAAAACGGACCAAAGTATGCATCTTCCGTCCCATCTCTTCCTGATTGCATGAAAGCGTGAAAGACGCACTCGCCAATGATCGCTTCACAATCTTCAATGAACAAACTTCCGATCATTGGAAATTCGAGTTCCCTGAGTGTCGTCAAAATATCGATGATTTGCAACAGGACTTCTTGCTTCTCTTCAAATGTAAGATTTGTCCATTCATCGAGCAAAGGAACGCCACGCAAGTAATCCATTATCACGAATTCCGAACCAACTACGTTATCTTTTTTGGCATTCCAGTGATGAAAAATAGGCACCGGAATGTTTGTACATGAAGAGACATAGCCAATTAAGCTGGCTTCACTTTCCAGCCTTTTTGTTGCATACTTTTCGGAATAGTTGTGAGTTTGGTTGGTGGAAGATGGGCACGAGATGCGTACAACATATTTCGAACCATCTTCCATGTTGACGAGGTAAGGTATTTGGCTGCTCGGATTCTTGTCGATTCGCAAAATAGATCCACAAGGTTGTTGAAAGACGCGTGTCAGTGTTTCCCGAAGAGCATCGAAATTAACAAAGTCATCGTCGACCTTTGTAATCTCTCGAGGTTTTGTCACGTCTGGTGGATTTAAGTTTCTCGAGGGATGATTGGTTTCATCCACGGGAGCCCTGTTCGGTTCGTCATGACCTTGTTCATTCGAGATAACTTCGCCGTCACTTTTTTCATTTCCGATTTTTTCTCGGTCGAAAGTAGACATTATTTTGTGATTTGTTTAGAAAAGTAAATGTAAAATCTAAAAGCGATTCCAGAATATGACGCTGAACGTACAATACGCGTACATGCATACAGTACTTATAGTATTGGAACGTGGATTTTTTTATTATTATTTTTATTGTAACTGTTATTCGGTAAGATGCTGATATTATTACATCATTTGATTCAACTTCAGATAATGAATATTATTATTATTTTTTTTTTTTTAAAAAAAAAAAAAGCAATGCAAAGATGCAAAGTAATATACAAATGACTAATCCGATATCGTTAAACTTATGACTTTTTGAGTCAGGACTCCACAAATTATAAGGAAATCACGAAAAAAAGCAAAAGACAAATCCCAATTAATATATTCGCGCTCGGTTTACTTGCCGAGGAGCTAGAACTACGGCACACATTAGTCGGAAGAGATTGATTATTAATCCAATTGGCAAACATTTCTAGTGAATTTGCCGGTTGATAATATGGCACGGAGTGACCGGAGTTGTACATCCTTACGAACCACAATGCGCCAAAACTTCGGACCTGACCAACAGCCTTAGCATTGTTGCACCATCCCGTCAGCGGGACTGCATCGAATTCCGATTGGTGTGACCACTCGAGTGCAGAGGCCGTTCTGTTCCCACCAAACCTTTTTACAAAAAAACCTTTCATGAGCAATGTTTGTCATTTAGGCGACCCATCAACACACACCTGCATTACCAATTCACGATATAATCAGCATCGCCATTATACATCAACACTCTTATTCCGTTTTGGAGTAAGAATTCTGTTTGAGGTTTGGGAGACACCGTGCTATATTTTGTGATCATGTCAAAATATGTTTTTGTAGAAGAGGAAAAAAAAAAAAAAAAAAAAAAAAGCCATAAATCAAGAAAAAAAAAAGCACTCACTAGTCATTAGAGTTTAGGTAATTAGTCAAAATATTGTCATTACATAGTTGATATGATATACTGCTCAGAGCACCAATAGACTTCATGACATTGGGTTTTTGCAAATAATTTACGAATGGAGGATTTAGTAAATCATTCGTAGTGCTGCTGGGAGCACGTATGTCATAATAGCTTTTGCCCGTTGCATCAAAGTAACTTTCATAATTAAGGCAAATTGTTTCAGCGTTAGAGCAATCACTTGTGGAATTTGTCTGGTTGCACAAAGTTACTGGTTGATTTTTAGGAACGAGAGGAACTTGTTAAAAAGGAAGTCTTCCATCGTTAAGATAGTGAAATTTGGGGAGAAGACCTACATGCTCCTTCGCAACTAGCTAGTTCACCCCTCATTTCTTGAATTTGTGAATTACTTAACAGCTGCCCGTCTGTGATGGATTAACGATGGAGATGAATATTTACTGTGCTTTTACCGAAATCCTTGAATATGGTAACTTGAAAGACATTCTCACATGAATTATACTGAATGAAATCAACATTCGATTCCCTTTCGAATAATGTAGTGATTGATAGTGAGGAATTAATTAAATTCGATCTATTGCAAATTCTTTTTTATCCTTACCATTGAATATCAGGGGCAACTTGAATTTTATGGTGAGAAGCGGAAGAAACGATTATTAGCCGCAAGCAAGTCATTCGAAATCCATATTTGAGACATCAGACTTACATACCAATTGCATTTCCCATACCGATGGATTTTAAATTGATGGTTATACCTTGTGACTTGTTCGAATTGATCAGAGCATTGTTGTCAACTATTTTTTTCGCGATCGCTGGAACTGCGGGAATAGAGCGTATTGTTAACATGTGCATGCATTTATCAATTCACGATTTCATAGGGCTTACTGTAATGTCCTGCATAAGATTCTCCAAAGACATGAAAATCGAGCTTTGAATATTCCGGAAATCTTTGAAAGAATAATTGCAAGAATGTGTAGAGATCTGCTGTTGACTGTTCGGTACTGCCGACAGTATAGTTTCCGGTAGTATAAGAGAATCCTGTACCAACTGGCTGTTTTCGAAACCCTGATTAACAAGTCTGATTTTCGACAAAGAGTACATGTACATCGTTTCGATTTATCCATACGGTACCTGGTCAACAAATAGCAAATTAGAAATGGAAATCCAGCTATTCGAGTTCGTCAAAGTATTCGATCCATCGTTGTTTGTGTAACAGGGTCCAATTTCTTCGAACAGTCCATCCATTGAGGAACAACCAGGACCTCCGTTTAACCATAGCGTTAGTGGTGATGACGAAGGATTTTTGAGCGCTTCAAAGAACCAAAAAAATAAATAAGAATCGCTATTTATTTTTATGTATCCAGAGTACTGTTATTGAACGTCAACGAATGAGAATGTTTGACCGATGGCTTCACGATGCCCAGAAGGAATCATTATGAATACCTGTTTTACACTGGAATTGCATAAATTGCTCGACACAATGCTATATACCGTATCTAAAAAAAACCAAAAAACAAAAATAGGAACAGGCGCATTAACTTCAAGGTACGATACGCATATACTGTATATGCGTTATATAATTACCACCTGATGATGTTGCTCTGCGGTCCGCCGGGAAGCCCGCTACCCCGGTGAGCAGAAGTAATGTGAAAAGAAACAATAATTCGAATAGATTATTCGAATTTTTATCGCAACTTTTCATGATTTGCGTATTAGTCTTAATGCAATAATTAGTGATGAAGTGAATGAATGAGGTTTTGGTGAATACACAAAAAAGACTGAGATCGCATTTATTTACTTCATGGCCGTCCGTGGTACAGATTGGTACCGTTAAACATGAAACAGAAAGGTATCTCTGTAAGGAGTATACACAACGCTGGAATAATGCCTAAACATTTAATCTTTTTTTGTTAATTAATTATGCACCCCAATGTTAATCGCCCTTGTGTTGCCGAAATGAAAATATTGGGCCTAAACGAGGAGCAAAGGCCATACACAAATTCCAATATGTTGGAGTCGGTGAAACAAGGACCATCTAATTTTGTTTCTAAGAATATCCGAAATTCCGGATAATTTCAATTTCTTTAAAAATAATATTACGAAAAAATAAATACATTATTCTTGATACTTTATATAGTAATAATAGTTTCTCAAAAATCGAATACGTATCATAGTAATAATGCATATTTTTTTAGATGCAAAACATCCGAATTATAGACTACGTATAGGCTACATCGATGATTAAAATATACAGTACGTATCTGCATTCGATAAGTTGTCTTGATATTCGTTTGCAAAAAAAGTAACAACTAACTTTTTGACTAGTGATTTACTGTATCCCTGCATCGTAATATGAAGGTTCTTTTTTTTTTAAAAAAAAAAAAATAAATAAAAATAAATAAAACGGAATAGAATAGAATAAACGCATACACTGTAAATTTCAATCGAATATACGGATATCATGGGGTATTGATACCGTACGTAAATTGATAATAGAAAAATAAAGAACATACCGCTGTCAAAAAATTATATTAAAATTCAATTATCCGACAGAAATTAATCAAAAGTAATCCGATATCACATTATTGCATGAACTTGTTATACGCTAATGAATTAATATACTGTATACCGCATACGTTACAACTATTTATTTAACGTGAATATATTTTATGCGTATACAAGGGTAGATGGAAAACATAGATTCTTACTACCGAAAAATAGCCGATTGAAAATTAAAAAGCGATGCAAAAAAATTTCCAATAATATTTGAATACTATGGTTTTTATCTGCAAAATTAATGTCAAAAGATTTAAATAGTTCAAATTCATCAATATTCTATAAAAAATTTTTCTTTAGACTGTATTTCTAATCATTTTTATTCTTAAGATAGAGTTCATATGAAAATGACGTGTGAGCCTCTTGTAACAAGCGAACTCGTTATATCTCTTAGAGATCATTCGATTTTAGTCATAATTGCATGGTTTTACTATGGCTTTGTAATTGGAACCAAACGTCATGAGATTAGAGACCTGGAGTAAAAAACCAATTCTTTGATTAATTTGATAAAGATAAGCTAGAATCACGATCATATACAATGTGTAACATAACTTTTTGAAGTATTTATTTATTTATTATTTAAAAACACTGTAGATAAATTAAAGAAAAATATATTGAAAATCTAGAGATTTTATTAATATAAAATTAATAATTTATTCTTTTATCTTTTTTTTTCACTTATTATTTCACATCTCTCTTTTATAAAATCTATAAAATTATTTAAAACCTCATTTTAAATTTTATCATATTTCTCTATTATAAACTATTCTAATTTTAAATATTTTTAAACAATCTTAATTTTATATTTCTTTTAACAACATATATTTTTTTTTCACTCATTTCACTGATCTTCTGACCACACACAAAAAAGATGTTTGCAAAAAGTTTTATACTTCAAGGTCAATAAAATTTTATTACTTTCTTTAAATTAACTTGTAAATAAGATTTTCAAGAGCTCCTTTACAATCTCTACTATCTCTTTTTATATCTTGCTAAAAAAAACTTGTTTCCTAGTAGCCAGAAAGACAATATTTACCATTCTTATCAATAGCAAGAAAGTTTTGAAAGGAAATAAATCTGATCTCTTTGTTTCCTTTTTACCTGCCAAAGAAACAATACAGAACCTTGTATATAAGGAAAGATTTTTTAAAAGACAATTTCACTATTCCCTTGTCATGGTTTAGATTCTAAAAGTACTTTTTCACAATTTTTTCCAAAGAATTTTGCCTACTTTAGTTTAATTTTAAATTCTTAGCAGCACAAAATTCCTTGTGCAATAATCAGATAATAAAAACATATCAGTAACTCAAGATGTAAACAAGCTCCCATTGATTACTGTACATGTCTAAATGCATTTCCTTAATACTCATAAGAATCTGAAGTTACTATAAGTTGCAAGCCAATCATACAGGTAAATATAAAACATGAAATCTATGATGTCATTGACTATATAAAAAAAATAAACAAATCTGAACTAGAACACATTGGATAATAAACAATAGCCCCTCTCTACTTCTCTTCTTTTTCAACAGACACAACTAAAAGAAAAAGACTATAAGATACAAGGTTCTTTAGGAAAAATTTCAATTACCTGATACTGATATATTGAAAATACAACTTCTCGATTTATTAAATAGTTATCCTTATCTCTTTAAGATATTCTTTTGATAATATCACTTTATAAAATTTTTTGCTTAATATTAGTGGAGTTAAAGCTTTATATAAAGAATTTTCAATATTGAAAATGTTAAATATTATAAATAAATTCTTAACACATTAATTCTCTTCTTTATAGAATTTAAGGATAACAATAAGTCACTCAGTAAGTCATATTTTGTTATGTCTCTAAAAAGTGCTTGATATGAATTATAGATAATATAATTAAAAAATATTTTTTACTCAATATTAATTCTTGTTTATTTTAATAAGTAGAATATTTATACTAGATAGTTATATAATTATCCTATCCTAATTGGATGAAATATAAATAGTTTACTCTTTGTACTATTCATTGATCTATAAATCTTTAGACAATATAGATAATTATTCATTCTAATTATTTCTAGATATCTTATTCTAATAAAATAAGTATATTCTAGTATAATGATGAGCTAGTATTTAAAAAATATATATATTTTTTAACAATAGTTAAATGATTTTTAATAGGATTTGAATTTAAACCATTAAAAAATTAATCAATAATTTCAAAAAAATTTTTATTAACAAATTTTTTAACAACTTATATATTTTAGATCATTATGATACTAAAAATAAAACCTATTTTTAAAAAATTTAAGGATTTTTTATTAATATTTTAATAATATAAAATTTGGATCTATAATTTATTAAAATAAAAAAAAATTTTTTTTTATGCAAAATCCTTCTTATACATAAATTTTATTATAATCTTTAAATATTTTTTTAATTGATCTTGTATTTTTATATTATTAAATAATTATATTTTAGAATAATTAAAATGTTATTTCATTAGAAAAACTAACTTTTTTTAATTATAATCAAGATATTTTTTTATTCAAATAATGCAAGCCTTCTTTAATAATAGTAATAAATATAAAAGTTTTTAAAAATAGATTATTTTTATAATTTAAATCTATTGAATATTTTGAAATTATCATATAAGATATGTTGGCATTGATATTTAAAAATTTAATTACTAAACTTCTTTTAAAAGTCTTAAATTATGATATAAATATTAATTAATTACTTTTGATTTATATATAATAATCTTTTTAGTTAATCTTAACTAAATTTTCTTAGATTATTTTCTTTGAATTAAATTTTTTGAAATTATAATAAATAATTGATATAATTATATCAATTTCAATATATATTTATTATATAAATAAAAATATATTTATATATTTATTTTGATAATAATTTAAACAAACTGATTGCAGGTATTACAAAAAAAAAGGTTACTTTTTTATATATTAAATTCTTTATAAAATTCCAAGTTTAATATTATATAAAAATTAAAGAAAAATAATATTTTAATTAAATTTATTAGGTTTTATAAAGATATAATATATTTAATTATCTAAAAATTATATCATAATTTAGATTATATAAAAATTAACTTTAATCTTTTCAATAATTTTTTTTTTTTTTAAGCTGACAAAGTCTTGCTATTTAGTTTTTATTTAATCATTAATACCTTTTTTATATACAAATTTAATTATAAAAAAATATATTTATAATAGAAAAAGAACCAATAAAACTCTTTTCGCTAATCCTCTGACCACACACAAAAAAGATGTTCACAAGAAGTTTTTATACTTCTTTGTTAATAAAGTCTTAATACTTTCATTAAAACAACTTGAAGTATGACTTCAA